CAGTCAGAGGATAGGTGAGCTTCCTTGTTCTCGGATGCCAGCGGCGGGTTTCCGTGGCACGGCGTCAGGCTCCGCTGTGTCAGACGGGCTGCGTTGTGTCTTGTCTTTCAGGATGCCAGATGCCAAGGGCACGCCGGAGGCTGTGGCGCAGGCTGTCGACAAGCTGGTGGGTGACTTGCACCCGCTTGCCATTTGTCAACAACCACGTGACGTCTCGTCGGCGTTTTATGAACAGCTGTCTGGCGTCCTGGCCTTGGGAGCGACACGACATTGTTTGCGTGTCACGTCTCGGTGTTTGTGAACCGCTACACGTTCGCAAAAGTCCCCTTGTTGTCGTTGTTGTTTGTGAGCGACTACATGAGGCCCAGTTGACTTTGTGTACGCCGATGTCTTGTTTGTGGACAGCAATTCGATCACCTGGTTCGTTTTGTTGTTACGTTTGGTCTTGTTGCTGCTGCTGTTCTCTTCGCGCTGGGCCAGTGCCGCACGTTGAACGTGAGGGCCCCCTCACAGTCAGTCCTCTGCCCGGATGCATCCTCCCTGCTGTGGATCCTCTCGCAGACGGAGAGCGCCCTGCAGTGGAGACAGCGGGAACTGCAGGTCTGTCTCACGCACAGGCACCTGCTGACACCTGTCAGCGCCAGGGTCAGAGGTCACGGATTGAGCCAGGCGCTTTTGTGTTTGTCAGAAGGCGGAGCTTAGCGTGCGGCAGCTGGGCGAGGAGAAGGCCTTGCTGCAGAAGCGCGTGGACCAACTGCAGGACGACGATGACCGCAAGCATCAGCGGTGCCCGCCCGCCCTTGACGGGTTAGTGGCTGTCGATCATCACCTTCCGCTTCTGGCGCACTCAAGTCACACCGCTCCGAATGAATGATATTTGAAGTACATCTTGAAGTAATCAAATGCTGAAATGGTGAAATCTGATGGGCGCAGACAGCAGGAGGCTGTGCCTCCCTCGCAGCGGCCGGAGGCGGAGCTTCGCACCAGGGAGGAGGAGCTGCAAAGAACAAAGGAGGCACTGCGGAGGAAGGAAGAGGAGGTGCTGAGCAAGGAGGCGGGGCTACACAAGCGAGACGGGGAGTTGCGTCAGGAAGAGGAGGATCTACGGAAGAGAGAGGAGCAGCTGCAGAACAGAGCGGAGGAGGTGCACAACAGGGAGGAGGAGCTGCAGGGGAGGAAGGAGGAGGTGCATAAAGCACAGCAGGAGCTACAGAAGAGAGAGGAGGAGCTGCGTGAGGGACGGCAAGCGCTACACGAAAGAGAGGAGGAGGTGCTAAGAAGGGAGCAGCAGCTGCTGGAGGAGCAGCAGAAGGTGCAGAAGAGCAAGGAGGAGGTGCAAACGGAGGAGGAGTCCCTGCAGAAGAGAGAGCAACAGTTGCAAAAGACAGGGGAGGAGTTGCATGAGGGAGAGGAAGCGCTACACAAAAGAGAGGCGGAGGTGCTCAGAAGGGAGCGGGAGGTGCTGGAGGAACAGGAGAAGGTGCAGAAGAGCAAGGAGGAGGTGCAAATGGGGGAGGAGGCTCTGCAGAAAAGAGAGCAACAGTTGCAAAAGACAGGGGAGGAGGTGCGTGAGGGAGAGGAAGCACTACACAAACGAGAGAAGGAAGTGCTCAAAGGGGAGCAGGAGCTCCAGCAGAAACGGGGGGAGTTGCAGAAGAGACGGGAGGAGGTGCAAATGGGGGAGGAGGCTCTGCAGAAAAGAGAGCAACAGTTGCAAAAGACAGGGGAGGAGGTGCGTGAGGGAGAGGAAGCGCTACACAAACGAGAGAAGGAAGTGCTCAAAGGGGAGCAGGAGCTCCAGCAGAAACGGGGGGAGTTGCAGAAGAGACGGGAGGAGCTACAGACCAGAGAGGAAGAGGTGCAGACCAGAGAGCGGAAGGTGCAGAAGAGGCAGGAGGAGCTGCAGAAGAGAGAGGAGGAGGTGCAGAAGAGGTATGAGGAGCCGCCGCTGCCATGCTAGGCTGTCGAGCGGTCACGTGACTGACCTGTGGCCGTTGCAGTTTTGACGCTGAGCTGCTGCAAAGGGAGGCCATCATCAGAGACGTGAAGGTGACCTTCAGCACACAGGCGTTGGTTCTTCAATCTCCACTTGCTGCGCCCGCACTGACGCACGTTGTCCCGCAGGGGGCCCTGCAGAGAGAAGAGCTGGCCAGAGCCAGGGCAGAAGAAGAAGCGGCGGCCGTCAGAGACGCCCTCCTCAAGGTACGCTCGTTTGTCGTCGCGCTCCGACAAAAAAAAGAAATGAATAAAAATTAACGGACCCCCGATTTAACGGGCAAGGGCTGGTCCGTTACAGCACAGAGTACCTTGAAGCGCTGGCCCTAAAAGCTGCCAATAGATTGTCGCCAGACATAGAAGTTGGGGAAACGATTTGCCTTCCAACATTGCTGGGACGGCGGCCAAAGTGTTGTGATCGTCACTCCACGTTTGCTTTTTGCTTTTTGCTTTTTCACGCCGTATCCCCCTTGCCCAAATTTTTCCCAGGATCGGCAAAGGCGTCGCTGGGCCTCAGATTTGTGCGCACAAGCTTGGGTGGCGTGACCCAGACGGGGAGTGAGCTTTTCGGGGCCGGCGGCCTAACCGGGGGGCCGTCCGGAGCGCTCGCGTGTGCGTTGGCGTTTGTAAAAGCTCACTCCTCGGGGCTGCTGGCCACGAGGCCTAAGAGTGCTCGGCCCCCAGGGCCACGGAGGCGGGTTCCGAGCTTGAGCAGGTGTGGCTCATATACGGCGCAGGAGTCGCCACCGTTGTGTCGCAGACAGTCCGATGTTGGGCCGGCATGCGTATTCCCGGTCTGGGCGGCATCAACCTTCCCGCTCTTCGATCCAATAGATGAGGGCCCTTTGCAAAATAACCCTAATCGGCCACACCCCCTTAGCGCTCCTCCCAGCACGCATCGGTGCTCCAGGAGCTGAAGGAGGCGCAGCAGGAGCTGCAGCTGGCGGCCGAGGAGATGGCCAGGATAGAAGGCGTGCACGAACAGCAGCGCAGCGAGAGCGGGAGGCTGCGGGAGATGCTGGATGCTCTGCGGGCACAGCGGGAGCTCCACCAGCAGGACGCGCAGGAGCTCAGGTAAGTCCAGCCATTCCCCAGGAATTTCAAGCACGCACGTAGCCCCCCCAAAAATATTTTTTTTTTGATTTTTCACCAAAGCTTTGCCATCCTCCTCTGTCATTAGGAGCCGCTCGGCATCCCTGCAGGAGCAACTGGAAGAGAAGCAGACGCAGATGTCGCGCGCAAGTGTGGAGCAAAGCCACCTCAGCGCACACGTGCGCACACTGCAGGAGGGCAAGGAGGCACTGGCCGGTCAATACTACATAACTCCCCCCCCACACACACACTTCCTACTCACCCACCCGTCCAGTCACCGTCTATCTTTGTTCTTCACCAGGCGAGCTCCGATGTCTGCGGGAGGAGCTGCAGAGAGTCACCTCCCAAAAGGAGCGCCACCGGACGGAGAAAGAGGAGGCCTGGACACGAGAGAAGGAGCAGCTCGGGAAGGAGTTGCGAACAAAAGACGGGGAGGTGGAGAGGCTGAGGAGGCGCGTTGAGGGACTACTGAAGGAAAGGAAGGAGCGGGAGGAGCATGTGGAGCAACTCAAGGAGGAGTTGGGACCAAAGAATGAGGAGATGGAGAACCAGAGGAGGAGGGTGGAAGGCCTGCAGGAGGAGATCAAGGTGGCATCCAAGGGGAAAAAAGCCCTGGTGGCCGAACAAGAAAGGAAGCAACTGGAGGAGGGCACCATGGGAATGGAGTTAGAGACGCTGAGGGGGCGCACGGATGGCTTACTGAAAGAATTGAAGGAGCGGGAGGAGCATGAGGACCAACTGAGGAAGGACTTAGAAACAAAAGATGCAGAGTTGGAGACCCAGAGGAGGCGCTCGGATGAACTACTGCTGGAATTGAAGGCACGGAAGGAGCAACTTGGCAAAGAGTTGAGAACAAAGGATGAGGAGATGAAGACCCTGAAGAGACACATGGACGGCCTGCAGGAAGAAATGAAGGGGCGGGAGGAGGCGACGTCCAAGGAGAGGAGAGCTCTGGTGGAAGAAGGAGAAAGGAAGCGAATAAAGGAGGAAGCCATGGGCAAGGAGTTAGAGACGCTGAGGAGGCGCGTGGAAGGACTACTCAAGGAACTGAAGGGGAGGGAACAGCAGGTGGAGCAACTCAGGGACAAGTTGGCCACAAAGGATGGGCAGTTGGAGACCCTGAGGAGGCGGATGGAAAGCCTGCTGCGGGAGATGAGGGAGAAGGAGGAGGTGGCGTCCAAGGAGCAGAAAGCTCTGGCGGCAGAAGAAGAAAACAAACGACCGGAGGAGGGCGCAAGGGGAAAGGAGGCGCTGCGCTCTCGCATCACGCTGCTGGAAAAGGAGAAGCGGGAAGTGGAGGAGCTTGAAGAGGAGCAGAAGAAAGAAGTCCGGGAGAAGGAGGAGCAGCTGCGGCAAGTTGAAGAGCGGCTGAGGTTGGCCGAGCTGCGCCAAGAGGAGCAAAGCGGGGAGCTTCAGGAGGCCGAAGGAAAGCTGAAGGAAAAAGAGGCCCGAGTGGAGGAGTTGGAGCTCCGGCTCGCAGAATCGCAGCAGAGGAGCAACCGGGAGGAGGACCGGGACGCTGTCGAGCAGGAATGGAGGGAAAAGGCTGCCAAGATCAGCTGTGTCCTGAAGGAGCGCGAGGAGGAGGTGCGGAAACTGACGAGCGTGCTGCAAGAGCGTCAAGAGGAGGTGCAGAATTTGAGGAGCATGCAGGAGGCCCGAAAGGAGGAGGAGAAAGTCCAGGAGCCCCTGAGGAAGACAGACGAGGACAATGTTTGCGGGGAGCAGACGCTGGAGGGAAAGGAGAAGGCGCGGCTCCTCCGAGCGGACAAAGACGAGGAGGAGGAGCGAGAACACAATCTGCTGAGGACTGAAGAGGAGCTGGCAGCTCTCAGGGAGTCTCTGAGGAGGGAAGAGAGGCGGCGAGTGGAGGTGCAAGAGGAGCTGAGAGGAGCTCGGCGCATGCTCCAGCAGATGGCGCTTGACCTCACCGCCCTGCAGGAACAGGCAAGCCAAGCCCAGCAAGCACGCAGGCGTTTTTTAATTTTACTGGTAGCGGTTCTGTTATTGACAGGAAGCAAATTAGCAAATGATTTAACGATTTACTCATTTCAGGTGAAAAACTGCTAAATTGGGGCCACAAATATTCTGAATTCTTGTGGGGGGGGGGGGTCAAAAAAAAGGCCAAGGTGAGCTGGGAGGGAGCCAGAGAGGCCCGACGCCCCCTTGTGTTCAAGTGCTGCACTGCTAAAGCTGCACCACCCCCACTTTCTTTTGTGTCCAGGTGAGCGACAGCCACAGGAAGGCCAGGGAGGAGAAGGAGGCGCAGGAGGAGACCACGAGGTCGCTCCAAAGACTCGTGCGGGTAGGACGTGTGGCCGGTTTCCACGGTGACCGTCTTCTCCGACCACATTCCTTTGCCAGCTGACGCCTTCTCCTTGTTACCCAGGAGAGCCACGAGGAGGGTGAGCGTCTGAGGCGCGCCCTGCAGGAGCAGCAACAACAGGAGGAGGATGCGGGCAAGACCGACCAAGCTGGAGGAGCCGAAGCCAAAACCCAGTGGCGGGAGAGGAGAGAGGCGGGAGAACGAGGGAGCTTGGAAGCAGAGAGGAAGAGTGGGCAAGAGATTTGGAAGTCAGATGAACAGAAGAGGAGCCATGAGCAGCAGGAGGAGGAGGAGGAGGAACGCTCGCAGCCCAAGACGCTCCAGCAACAGGAGCAGATGCCGGAGGAGGAGGTCAGGAGCAGGAAGAGGTCCGGGCTTAAGCTGGAGGCAGACGAGCAGTTGAGGAGCAGCGGCAGCCTGGGCAGCTCGCAGCAGGAGCTGACGAGGAGGCGGCACCGGCAAACGCGGGCTCAGGTAAGATGTGGAGTCACACTTTGATTCCAGCTGCCTCCTCCTCCACAAGTATGCCAGAGACAAGCCTTGGCATACTTGCGCACCTCGGTAGGGCTTCTGATCGAATCAAATCATTCAGCCCCCAAATTTTGGAATCGGTGCCGCCAGTCCCTTGAAAAATGTCGTCATCAAAAAAAAAAAAAAAGACTTTGTGTTAACTGTGCTATGGAGGAAACCCCCCCCCTCCACCCCAAAAAAATTTAAAAAGTAACGATAAATCAATGTATTAGCTAGCCTGACCTCTTCCCGTACGTACATGTCTGGAATGTTCTTGAACCACGGAGATGCGTATCCATCCTGCGGTTGCAGGACAAGGAGCGTCCACGCTCGGCTCCGGAGCCGACGGGCGGCGGGCAGCGGTGGCGGGCGGAGGCATGGCACCAGGAAGGGGACGGAGCTCAGCTGCTTCTGCTGCACAGTCTCCTGGCTTACCTGGAAATCAAGCTGGAGCGCTCTCAGGGCAAGAAAGGCAAACTCAAACAGCACAACCGCAAACTCCAGGTGGAGAGAGACGCACTGGCACAGGTACGTGCACGCATGTGTCGCCATGCTGCTGTCTGGCCACCGATCTGGTCGGCACCGGTGTCCTTTTGACAGTCACTCATCTGAAATGGATGAATTGAAGAAGGTCAATGAAGGATCTGTCCCCCGTCTTCCCCAGGCGAGCCGGCCGCACGGGTCAGCGGCGGCGGACGCCCACCGGAGGGCGCCCTGTGTCGGCAAGCTTCATCGGGACCTGGGCCAATCGTTGGCCACCGTCACGCTGCGGCCCATTGTCGCGTCCGTCCTGCAGGCCGAGACGCAGCGATTGGACCGCAGCCTGAGGGAGGAGGAGCTCCACCCATCGGCAAAATGCTGATCAATAAAATTGGTCACGCACGCATCTGTTCGGCTTCCATTCCGACGTTAGGGCATCCGAGTAATAGTAATAATAATAATAATAATAATAATAATAATAGCAATACATTTTATTTATAAGCGCCTTTGGTAGTAGGCTTTGCAGCTCAGCTGGGGTTTCAACGTTCAACTTTGGGGGCCACGGCCCGCTCGAAATGCGGCTTTGAAGCCGCAGGCCAGTCGAATTGCAAATGTTTGAGGCTTGCCGAGGAGGCTCGAGGCTTTCAAGCGCGGAGCCCCGAAGCGTCCGCACGCCGACATTCCCGCCCTGACGGGAAAGAAACGCGCCTCGTTTGCTTGGCTTTCGGCAGCGAGCTGAGGAAGGAAGCCGGGCCAAACTGCCCTCTC